CACAGTGTTAACATCCATGATGATCCAGTGCCCACCAGCATCACCAGTGCTACTGCCAGCTCTTTGCTGCCATGATGAATATGCTTCTTTTTAGCTGGGCCCAAGTCCTGCTGGCAGACTGATGAGTGCCCCTGTGGGTGGCTCAAAGGCCATTGTTGTTAAACCAGCAATAGAACGGAGGACAGGCAGCCATCTGTAAGAACCAAGACTATTACAGTCCTACAGCAGCCAGTGATCTATGGGGAAATAAAGGCAATTGTCAAATAAAATGTATTCAGTATTCTTTATAATACTGTAAAAAGGCTGGCCCTCCTATGCACCAGGTTCCACACACCTCTTGGCTCTCTTCACATCTGCTCCTTCTATCTCCACCACGCAAGGAAGCATTGATAGACCAGAGAAGATCCAATTCCCTGAACCTGAGGAGCAGATGCATGTTTTGAAATACCTCTTTCCATTCATTGTGAGGAAGCAAAGTCTTTTGGTTTCATGCAGAGGTGCTGTGAACAAACAACAAACCTTAAAAGCCAACCATGTTTAACAACATTCCAGGAGCTGTCTGATCCAGCTGGAGGTCAAAATGCAATGTCTGCAGACTGGTCAGCCCTCATTTCTATATTGGTTCAGAGAAAGAAAGTTCTTTTAGACCTGTGCCTGTAGTCTATTAGGATCACTGCAAATTAAGCAGAGGTCTGTCGCAGGACAGATTGTTCCTGATTACTGGGACTAAATGAACACCAAAAACATTATTCAGAGGAACATATATGTAGGCCTCAGTTCATTCTCAAAGACACTTAAGAAACAGAGCATGTTATGGAAATAGCAGCTGATGTGCGTAGAACAGTAAGCAGAGAATGATTTTGAGTTTCTACGCTGAAGTTCCTGGGTTCTCCTCATGACATATGTTCCTTTTTCTCAGCATTTCCCAGCACTGTCAACCTGCTGTTCCTCAGTGAGATGGTGGAGCCACCTATCCTAGCAACAGTAACATTCATCCCCTTTTCTTTGTATTTGGGAATACTAAAATATTTGTAATGGGGTGGTGGTGTGTCCAGCTACCCAGGAAGGGATGAGGTCTACCACTAGAAGGCAAAACAGTTGTGTGACCTTTACCAGCAGGGGCCCTGTGGAGCCGGTGGTATAAAACTCTAGGAAGAGAAGGGAGGCAGTATAAGCATGTTGGATGTAGCAGCTCTGTCCTCCCTAGCCATGTTCTTGTGGCTGGTATTCAACGGTTACAGATCTGTGCACATGTCCACAGCCTGGATGGCAGCCTCCTCCCTTCCCTGTTATCTTCATCCTGCTTTTGTCACCAGGCTGCCAGTGCTGAGCCAGCCCAGCAGTCACCTCACGCAGATGTCCCTAGTGATGGCCTGGACCTTCAGATGGGAGTGACCCAAGGCACAGACACGGGCTCTGCCAACTGCTGGAGGGAGGCACCTGAGAGGTCTTTTCTTGTGCAGAGCCTCCTGCATACAATTCCTTTCTACTTTCAAGTACTGCTTAAATGCAAACAGTGTTGGCTGTTAGGAAACTGGAGTTTTAAGGTGCCTGAGGGGACACTCCTACAAGACAAGTAGACACAGTCTATTAGTTACAAGGAGACGTTGGCTTTTTCACAAGGACGCCAAGAAGGCCCCTCCATCTGGCCCAAGTGTACCTGTTCCTGGTAAGGGCCTGCTCTCTGGGCCAGGGTACGGCCCACCAAATCCAAACTGACCACCCAAGGCTTTCCAGTGGGCAACTCGCAGCTCAACAGGCAAAGTCTTCAGAAACCCCTTCCGGGTGCTGGGGTGGGAGGGAGACGTGGCAGCGCAGCCTTGTCCATCGTGCACTTCTTCACTCCCTCCCTTTCAGCCCTGTCCTTTCTCAATACCCAGGAAAGATTAACTCCTCTCCATGCGGCAGAGAAAGTTATTATCATTAATGAAGAATTAAAAGGGAGCGATTAATAAAGGGCCCTTATCTGGTAGCGAGGAGGAGGCTGGACAATGGAAGGAAGATGGAGAAAATGAAAAACAATAAATATGAAGCGTAAAAGGAGGCGAGCACTGCTCCCACTTGTTAGATCGCAGCTGCATCTCCTGAGGGGGGAAGGCTCCAAATTGCTAATTACTGCCTCTGAAAAGACCTCGCTCTGATATGTTTTCTGCTGAAAGGTTCCCATTAATGAAGCAGCGATGATGCTGTTTCCCTTTGACTTGCCTTCAATTCCCTCTCTGAGCTTCCTCCCAAGCCGGGAACAATGAGGCCCTGGGAGCTGGCGGCTCCCACAGGCCTCGCGGAGACTGGGCCGGGGGCAGCCGAGTGAGGGGAGCCGCGCCGGCTGTGAAATATGGAGGGGGGAGATAAGGCAAAGACAGAGGAAAGAGGCTCACTCCCAGGAGCCCAGGGAAAATTTGCAGTTATTATGAAGGAGATGAGACAGATTAAAAGCCCTTGTGTTCTGCGCTGCCCTTTTATTTAGTGGCTTCATCTCCAAGATGAAAGAAGTTGGAAATGACTTTCTCCGCATTTTGCTGCAAGAAGCTTCACGGCACATTTTTTGACTTTATTCCTCCCTTTGTCTCTTGTCCCCTTTCTGTCTCTCTCTTTTTCCTTTTAACCCCTGGAAGGTTTTGCTGAGAAGCACCATGGGACCATGCGGAATGTTTGCTGGGGTACAGCAACGACCCCTTTAGTCTTCCTGTCCTACCAGGCCATCCCTCTCCCTGTGCAGGCTGGGGGCATGACCTGGGCAAAGCAGCAGCAACAATGTGCTGTGAGCATCCTGCAGACCTTCCCTCGCTGCTCACCTCAGGAACATCCCTCGCCGCAGCATCTCCTCTCTCATATCAAGTCCAGTTTAGTGCTGGTGACCACAGATTCTGGGCAGTAGAAAGATGCCTGGACGTGCAAAGCCCAGGAAAGGCTAATAATCCACTCAGAATACAAGTCCTGAACATTTTGCATCCCTACAGCTTTTCACAAGCAAAATTAGTGCTGAGAAAAATAGGCCAGTCCCTGTTGTTCATGCAGGAAAACTGCAAACTACAGAGAGATCAAATAATTCACTGGGGATGTGGGGTGAAGTTGAACTCAGGCAAGGATTCAAAATTTATAGTCACTGTTCCACTTCAGAGTGGACTTTGTGAGACAGAACAGAAATATCATAAACAGCTCAAAACCAGATTACCACTTCTTCCCCAGTATATTTCACCAACTCCTACTGACAATTTTCCATTTTTTCCCTATACACAGCAGTGCCCTGTTTTGGCACCATTTTAGTTCTTGTGACTCTTGCAAAAGGCAAAAACAATTCTGTTACCACCAAAACTTTCCCAGAAAAACATCCCCCATCTCTCCCAGGTCAGGAAAAAGGCTGCTGACATCTCTCAGAATTTAGTTTGAAATGCTGAAATTTGCAAAAATATTGACAGGTGCTTTAAAAATTATACGATTTGTAAAACTCTTGTTGACCAACAGAACAGCACAGAACTATTTGGGAAAATAAATGGAAAAAAAGAGAAATTAAAGTGGGCATCTGCTGCTGTCTCCTCAGGATGTGTGAGCACAGGAATTCTTTTACACAACTGTTTGTGTAATTTGTTATCCTGCCCAGTACTACAGCCAGCACAGAGCTGAAATGAAGAGGTAAGAAGCTCTGAAGTGGATGTTTACAGAATAACCTTCCCACCAGGGGAGTTTCTCTGTAACCTAGACATTTTGTAGATGTTTTATGTCCTGAAGCATGGAAGAGGATTGCAGTGGTAAAACAGGATTAGATTTTAGGATCTGAGAGTAAAAAGAAAACCTCTGTACTGAAAATAGGAAACTAAATGCTGCAGTCAATAGAGTGGGGTACTGCAATGGAAAGGGTTAAAAAGACAAAAGGACAGACAACTACAGATGAATTGGAGCAGAGGAAGTAACTAAACTGAAGACAGACATTAAGAATGAGATAAAAATGATTTATCAAATGACTGTTTTTGTTCTTTTAATATTTCCTTTCCACATAAATTTCTCAGACAACAAAAAGGTAATGAAAATGTTAAAATTACAGCTCAGAATAAAGGTTGAGTTGGAGAAACAGCATGGAGAGATCTCAGTGAAGCTGATTGATGATCATTTCAGAAGGTGTAGGAATCAGCCACAAACAGAAGGATTTTCTTACGGTTATTTCTTCACAAACTGGGGGGGGGGGGGGGGGGGGGGGGGGGGGG